ACCCTCGGTGTTGCTCCCGCGCCTCGCTCAGCCAGTGAGCGGGAACCGGTCTGTATGTGGGATCCGAACCCTCGGGCGGGAGCGCCGCCGCACTTCCCAAGCGGCGCACTATCCAGTGCGCCAGCGGGCCAGCCCTTTCCATGAACTTTTTGAAGACCCTTCGTATTAAGTACAGGTAACAAGTCCTCTCCTGAAAAGTATGTGGCATTCTTTACAAACTGGAGGATTTGTGATAAAGTTGATGGCTCTGGGAGTGAGATCAGTCACCTTGCTTGAAGTCCCGTCATTGGTGCTTTGGGTGGGTTTTAGACTCTAAAGACTCGTGCTGAAGATAATGCCTTTACCCCTTAATCCCACCGTGTGCCCTTGCTCATGTTGTGTCACCTCCCTAGGCTTCAATCCCCACCTGTAAGGTGGAGACAATAACAGTGGGTAAGTGACACTGGGCATGGGTGAGGGTCATGCTGTCCCTCCCTGTGGTTGGGGCCACATGCTGTTGCTCCCTAGGTGATTTCGTGGACTGAATGTGGTGACCTAGAGCAAGCTGTCTGAACCTCAGTTGGCCATCTGTAAAACAGACACAGTAACAGTGCTTTTTCTTTCAGATGGGGCTGGGATAAGGCTCAGATGTGATGCTGTATCAAGTGCTCAGGAGAGGGACCCAGCAGGTGTGGGATTTGCCTGAGGACTGATCTGTAAAACAGACACAGTAACAGTGCTTTTTCTTTCAGATGGGGCTGGGATAAGGCTCAGACGTGATGCTGTATCAAGTGCTCAGGAGAGGGACCCAGCAGGTGTGGGATTTGCCTGAGGACTGAGGGGTGAGGAGAGTGGCCACTAAGTCCCCTGCTGATGAGTGCCCTCAACAGCAGTATTTTTAGCTGCCCTTCCTGGGCAAAGCTCCAACTCCTGCATTTAATGGAGAAATAATTCTCACAGTGTGACAAGCTGTAGCCTGCAGGTGTCACATCCATATTAAAGAGGGGACAGAGCGAGGGTTCATTTGCCTGGCTCGACGTGTGACCGGAATTTGCCTCCAGGACCATTTGTAACCTGGACTGTGAAGATCAATTAGTGGATCTGACCATTCTCCACTCAGAGGGAGGAGACTGGGCATGGGGGGTGAAATGCCGTGGCTGGGGACCCCTGAGTCGTCTGCTTCTTCTGCTTGCTTGTTGGAGAGCGTTCTGCTTACACCCACGGACATGAAGAGTGCCTTCCCTGGGAGACTGTTCAGGGAGAGGCACCTGAACTTGCTGCGTCCCAGGAGGCGGTTGCTGAGCAGGATGTTGGTACATGTGGGCCGATGAGCAGATGCCCTAGCAGATTCTGAGCTGGGCAGTGTCTAGAGATCCTGTTGCAAAGCCCAAGTCTGAAACTGAGACATGAAGCCAAAGTTTGCCCTGAATAGCCAAAAACCCCAGCCTCTAAATGCGGGGGACTCACTGAGAAGCAGGAGCTAGAGGCTGGCATGCAGGGAAAGGCCCGAGTTGGGGTGTGGGGCTGGGGTGGGGTGAGGAGACTGGGGGGTGGCAGACTCACACACAACAGGTGCAAACAACACAGACGTATAGGAAGTGGTGGTCCTCACCTCTAGTCCCCCCACTTGGAGAAAAGTGTTACTAAAGGTTTGCTATCCTTCCAGACTGTCCTCCAGGCTTACACACTTATGAAAATGATAGCATACCTATTGTTCTGCACTTTTTTTTCTGTTTTTCTTTACCATTTTCCCAAGTCAGTTCTTCTAGAGTACCATCCTTTTTAATTTTTGTATTGATGCATAACATACATCTATTGCTTAGAAGAGGCTAATCCTCATTCTATGGCTCCTTGAATTTTTACACATGCATCCACCCACAAAACCAGTGCCCAGATCAAGACATAGGACAATTCTGGAATCCCAGAAAGTTCCTTAGTGTCCCTTCCCAATCAATAGCCCCATCCACCTGGCTGCTTTCACCGTGGATTAATTCTGTTTGTACTTGAACTTCACATAAGTGGAATCCTACAGTACTTACTATTTTGTATCTAGTTTCTTGCAAAGACCTCCCCCATTCTTTTTAAATGGCTACATAGTATCTCACAGTACTGCTGTTCTCCAATAGGAGGGTACTTCAAAAAGTTCATGGAAAGATTCCTATTCTCTTTTATGTCTGTTTTTCCATGAACTTTTTAAAGTACCCTCATATATTTTGCCAGTTCCTATAATTTAGATACAAATAATGCAGCCTCGTGCTCAAGTTTCTACAGTGTGGAGCCCTAGAAGTGGGATCTTTGGGTGCCTTTTAAATGTCGGTAGAATTACCATTTGTTTGGGCTGCCTTTTTAGCCAATCTTAGTGGCAGTAGGAAGGTGCTCACAAAGAACACTTAAGGCCACTAGCAATACTGATTCCAGACAGGGCAGGAACAGTGCTTGGAATACACAGCACAGCTGGGCTGCAGGGGCCTCAGGGGTGGAGTCTAGTTCAGCAGTGGACAGGGCCTGCGGTCATCTTTTCCTCCCACCTCCCGCCGGACACCTTCCCCTTCAGCATCTGCCTGTGGCTGTCACCACCTCACTTCCACAGGAGCTGTCTTGGCATTGCTGGGACCCCCGTTCTGGGGTGAGTGATCTGCCTCCTGCTGGATGGCGTGGGCGCAGCATCACGGTCTGAGTGAGCCCTGTGCCCAGAACACCTGACCATAATTGATGGGGGAGGTTCATTAGCATCTTGGTGGATGCAGGCGCCTCAGGGCAAGTTAAATCTCCTGCATTTGTGTCCGAGGGCATTCATAAGCTGCCATTTGGCTCTACCAGCTCCAGGTAATTATGGTGACACTATTTCATCACTAATGAGGCAGCTCTTTGTTAGAGCAGAGAAAAAGTCTTGGTCTCATGGAGCAGACATAGCTCAGCCCTCAGTCAGAGGATCTGTGACCTTTGCCCCCAGCCTTTCCCTAGCATCTGAGCAGCAAAATATCTCCCTCCCCTTAACCTCCCTCAGCTAATTTGATTTCTCCACCCTCATTGCCCTCCTCTGGACATTTCATCATTGTCCCTTTCAGATTGATGCCAGGGCATGGATCATGTTTTAGTTCATAAT